GGTACGCGGCAGGAGGGGACCGCCGAGACCGGGTTGCATAACTCGGCAAGCCAGGACGGGGAGGGCGGCGACGGGCCGAGGGGTTACGAGTGGAGCAGGCAGCAGGTAGCAGGTAGCAGGTAGCAGGTGCAAAGGGCTCCTCGACGCGGCGTCACGGCGTTACGGCGTCACGGCGTCACCATCGAGGCGGGACGGGCGGCGGGAGGCGGCAGGCGGCAGAGCGAATAAATCCACCAACAAATGACACTCAACCGAGGCGGCAAGCAGACCTGCTGGTTGTGGCTGTGGCTGTGGCTGTGGGCTGTTGGCACGAGGGAGTCGCCGAGATGCATCAGCAGGCGCCAACCAGCAAGTCACCATCGAAGACAATATATTTTTCGCCGGTCAGACGATCGATAAATCAATCATTAGTGGCATAGGTATGCTCGCGGGTGTTGTTTCATTGTGGTGCAACGAGTGGAGGAGAGGCAGGACTGCAGACGGAAGACTCAGTGAGCTGAGGCGCAGGCGCAGGCGCAGGCGCAGGCAGACCTGCACACGCCCGTGGATAGACGGATTTACAGGGGACCGGCAGGCAAAGACAGAGAGATGGCTGGTGAGAGAGAGAATGAGACAGATTGACGCCGAGAGAGCATTGAGAGGCAGTCCGACAGCCACAACTATTGGGGCCCTGGACACAGGCAGCAGTCTGACAGACATGCAGGCAGACAGAGAACTTGGCGGTTCACTGGTGGCTGGGTGGAGTGGTGGCGAGAGAGAGAGAGAGAGGCAATGAGTAAAGTTCAGTCGAGCCAGGGGGGTCAGAGCGACAGCGCAGACACTCGCACGTCCTGTATGCACTGAAAGCCCGCCAGCTTATACCCCATAGGCTGTCTGGCCCGACCTTGTCAGCGTGGACCTGACTCCGGCATACACACATTGACTGGCCTATTTGGAGATCGATGCTGCACTGTGATTGGCCAAAGGCTCGGTTGAATCGGGCTGTCGGGAACAAAGAACTGCCTAAAACCTGATTGGCTGGTCTGTCGCCTTACTTGCCTCGGGTCCAGCTGGCTCGATGTTCGATTCCAACCTTGCCTCTACTCAGGACCTACTTATTTTAGAAGTCCACCGCCGGTGGGTCGATCCGTCATGTCCGTTTGTTGCTTTTTCTTAATTGCAATACACTCCCTCTTGGCTCACTCGAGTCTTTCTCGCATGACCTCTGGGCTACTCGTCCTTCTCCCTCCTCGTCCGCTTGTCCGCTTGTCCGCTTGTCTGCTTGTCTGCTT